AGATGATTTTTGTAAATTTAGTACGAGAGCTAGGTATTTAGAATGTCTCGATCAATGTTTGAATCAATGTGCAAAATATGAAATTTCTTTAAATTTAGAAAAGTACCAATTTGGGATACCTTCTAGTAAGTTGTTGAGTCATATAGTTTCGATAGCATGCATTGCTACAGATCCGGATAAAATAAAGATTATAGAAAAATTAAAGCAACCAGACACTGTTACAGGTGTTCGAACATTTGTCAGCCATGTCAATTATTATCAGTGATTTATCTATCTATTTATAGTTAGATACCTTCTCTTGACAAATCTCTTGAAGAAACCACCAACCGATGGGACCAATCTATTTTAGACAAAGGAATATACAATTGCATTTGAAATATTGAAAATCACATTCCAATGTAGACCATTTATCTCGGTTATCCAATATATTAGATAATGAATCCATTAACGATGCACTACCCAATGCAAAACTATTTGCAGTAGATATAATTACTCCGGAGTATAGTAAAATAATTCAATACTTGACATTTCAAAACTTCCCATCCAATTTCAATGAAAAGCTTAAATAATGCTTAATATTAAAATGTGCCTATTATACGATGATTGGTGAAGCTTTATATAAACAAGGCAAAGATGGAGTTTTGCGACACTATATTTATCAAATTGAAGTATATACTATATTGGAATGTTGCCACTTTGACAGTTATGGTGGACATTTTTTGAGGGACAGCACAGCTTGTAAAGCTTTATAGGCTGGTTATTTGTGACCAACACTGTTTGCAGATGCCTACCAATTCGTCCGTTATTGTGACCCATGTCAGAGAACGGATCGACCTATTGGAACTTTAGCAATGCCATTGGTACCAATTCTGGCTCAAGCGCCTTTTGAAAAATGGAGAATTGATTTTATAGGGCTAATTGCACTAGCCTCGAGAAATGGATAAAAATGATATATGCTGATACCAATGGATTACGTAACAAAATGGGTTGAAGCAGTAGCTACAAAAACCAATAGTACAAGTATAGTAGCAATATTTTTGTATGAAAATATTATTACACAGTTTGGTTGTCCACGAGAATTGGTTAGTGATCAAGAAACTCATTTTATAAATAGTACAATCGAAGCACTCACGGCTACATATGAGATAAAACATCATAAGACTACACCGTATCACCCTAGAGCCAATAGACAAATAGAAAAGATTAATGGAATTTTATGTAAAATCTTAACAAAAATAATTTCAAGAGCAGGAACAGATTGGGACACTAAGTTGTTCGCAACTGTATGGGCATATCGTATTGCATATAAAGTTACTACCAATGCTACCCCTTTCTAATTGGTTTATGGCCAGGAAGCAATCTTACCTATTGAATTGGAAGTCCAAAGTTTACGAATTGCTATAGATACTAGATTGGAAGATCAGGATTCATTACGGCACTGTTTAGAAGAATTGGAAAAATTGGATGAAATTAGAGCCAATGCATTAATGATAATGAAAACTACACAAAAACAAAGGAAGACTTATTATGATAGTAAGCTTAAACCAAAGGCTTTTATACCAAATGATTTGATACTTTTTTATGATAGTCGATTTAAAAATTTTCTACAAAAATTTCAAGGTTGATGGCATAGGCCATATCGAGTTATTGACAGATTTCCAAATGGTTCAGTACAATTGGAAGATTTTATGGATACTAAATTTATAACATGGATCAATGGTAATCAGCTTAAACTTTACTATCCATAAACCGGGACGGATTTTCTGTTACAAAAGGGAGAGTCGATCCAATTGATTGGACCATAGTAAGAAGTAGGAGGGGGGCTCTTAACAAGCATCGTGTTTTCTTTTGTAGTTAAGGAGAAGATGACGAACATGGTGTCTGAGAAAGCAAGGATGGAGACCAATTGGAAGGAACAGCAAGAGCGGCTGCAGGTAGAGGTTGCGGTGTTGCAGACTAAACTAGCCGCATTAGCAAAGGAGGCCAATAATTTAGTGCAGACCAATACACCAGTTTCAACGACAACACCTTCAAAGATATATTTGAAACCGATAGAAGAATGGCAAAAGATGTTGGAGGAATGTGACAACCAAATTGTCCGACTTGAGTCTCAGGGATGGAAATTGGGTTTGTTGAATGAAGATCTGACGACGCGTTTGGATGGACAACCATCGAACACCAAGGCAGACGACGAAGATGTAAAGAAGAGAAGGTCACCAATTCAAAGGGTGATAAGCCAATGCCATTGACTGAAAAAGCCAACACTACTATATCTTTATAAGTTGAGGCTAAATAATGTTTGCGAGGACGTTGCACAATTAGGAGTGGGACTATGTAGAATAGGTAAATAAACTTTGTAGTAAGTTATTGGTTGGTTATTGGCAACCTTGAGAATTAGATTGATGGTTAGGCAGTTTAGTTGGTAATTGTAGGTTGTTAGTAGAATAAATGGTTAAGAATTCAAAGGGTCATAACCTTTGGAATCCGTTGGTTGACAGATCATCTTTTTGGTAGGATAAATAGGTTGAGGAAAGAGAGATGGAGAGCTAGACTATGAGAGTCGTAAGTTGGGGTAAGCTTGGTGCTACCTCTTTGTTTTCTTTGCTTTTATTATTTGCTTATGAAGAATTGTGATTGAAAGAAGTATTATTGAATTGATAGTCATAGAATGGATTATGTGTTGAATCAAGACGATAGTAGTAAGCCTTGGTGTTTTGTAGTTTAATAATTGATTTCTGATAGCCAGAGTATAATCAATTGTGACACTAACAGATCCAATTCATATAACTAGTCTTTCTCCGTGTTCGAATCCACCTCTATTAGTTCAATTGCTTTGGTATATCGAAGCTTGAACGTAACGAGAACAACAGTAACAATCTCACCCTTTAAAAGTATTTTTTGAATTTTAAATACTATACTTCTTGTTGCAATGTTCTTATTTATACTTTTAGCACAAGTTATACAAGGTTTAACAATCGACAAAAATGAACAAAACACATTCTTGCAAATTAAGTTTTACTTGTGTACATTATGGAATATGAAAAATTATGAATTTCTCTTCTATTTTACATTGTGGATTTTGTATTGTATTACAATTGAGAATTTACAAATTACCAATTCAAATGAATGTGAATTTTTACATAAAAAATTATAGAAGTCAAAATATGATTTTGTATAATTATATTACTTATATATACTTTTATATTTAAGAATTAAGTTGAAATTTTATACCAAATATTACACAATAAAAATGTCAAAAAAAATTCATATTATATAAGTTATTAAATATTTACATACATCAAATAGTATAAGGCTTTAGAATTTTTGGTATTTGGAAATTGGTAGAAAGATTATTTTTTTGGTAAAAATCAATAATTTTTGTAATTAGTAAAAATAATTATTAATTATATTTATTATTTTATCAACACTGGATTTAATAACTAACTCTTAAGAATTTATGCTCTATACTATAAATAGACCATTACTTTTAAAAATATCAAAAAAAAAATTAAATCTAATAAGTTTATGTTGGAAATATGCTACTTAAAATTTTATAAGTTCTTTATTAATAAGCTATTAGCAAATGAAGACGAAATTTCTGCACTGTAATTAGAATCAATATACAAAAATAATATTTTAAATAAATACTTAGATTTCAAATTCTAACAATTTTTATTTGTAAGATTTAAATATCCAGATTTAATCACACATAAATATAAGAATATATGTATATATATTGGGAGAGAGGTTTTTTTTAATACTGTTTAGATCTGATTAATTTTGTAATTTTTTAAACATTTTGTATGAAAAACCATGCACCATTATATACTTTGTATGTATATATGTATGTATACACATACATATTAATATGTATTAACAAAAATTATGATTGGAGTTCAATTGAATGTGTATGTTGAACATGATGTTGGAATCTCATAATTTCAGAGTGTTTGTCATAATGAATTTAGTCTTTTCTAAATTTTAGAGTATGAATGTGATATACATACATACTTACATACAAGATTTTACCAAATTTGTATAATTAGAGAAGATGTTATTATATTTTACCTTCACAATGTTATTTAATGTTCTAAATTAATTTATTTTACAAAAATCGATAGTTTTGTATGAAGAATGTTATGTTTAAAAATGTGCAATAAAACTAAATAAATAAATAAACAACAAACACTTGATAAGAACAAATCCATGTTTAATCCATACTGTTCAAACCATCAACTCTGATTTGAATAACATACATTTTAGGAATGTTGATTTCATTACATACTGAAATTTTGAATATAACACGATTGAGGTGATGTTTTCAAACATGGGTGATTTGAAGAACGATGTAATAATTGAACACAGCACATAAAGATGGGTTACCAAAACTTTCTGTCATTCAATAAATCGATTACATCATAAAGTTTTACATTGACAAAATTAATATATACACAAACATAAAAAAACTGGAAAGTCAATTACGCAAAAAGGAAAAGGTATTAATTGGTCAAAAAAAGGAACTCTGACGCGGAATTTCCGTGAACCACGTAGATACCATCATCCGTAGGAATTTTCATTCATCCAATACCACGTTCATTAATGCATGGCTTCTGTCGAAAGTGGCTGGAGCAGGTCCGTGGACCCATTACAAGGCTTGATGACATGGCATCTTGCTGACATGGCAGGGAGTTCGATGCCACGTAAGGTTTTGGAAAAAAGGTGTGGAAGTGTGGAAGCGAGGCCTTCCTTTTTGAACCGAAACGGCGGGCGGGGGCTAATAATCCCGGTGCACAGGCCCATTTGAACGCCCATTCAGTTCCTCGCCCCGCCCAAGCCCCCGCCCCCGTCCGTCTCCGACGTCCTCTCGCCGCTCCGGCGGGCAACCCAACGAGAAACGTAACGGGACAAGACGTAACGGCACGCTCCGTCCTCCCGCTCCGTCGTCTCCTTGCTCTTCCCCATCCCACTCTGTTTTTTTTTGGCCTCTGTTCCAATTTTAATCTGCTCAGGTTTACACCTCCAACGCCCAGAGCGGACACTCCGCCACTCATTGCATTCGCACACAATCCCTGCACTTCTCAGATGGACGGTGTCCATCTTCACCGGTCGTCGCTTATTGATGTGCCAAGTAGGAAAGCCAGTCTTGTCGTAGTTTCGTTTTGGTATTTTGTTGTTGTTGTTCAAGCAATGTAGGAATGATGGGCGACGGCCCTAAAGTGGAGATCCGCAGGAAGCGTCAGGAGCTTTCTGTTGTCGCCACATTGTTGCTGAACATGTTTCTTAAGAAAAGTCGTGCCGGAAATGATCTGCCGCATTAGATAAAGGAGAGTTGTCCTGTTGGGGTCACATTGCAACGTAGAGAAATTTGTGGTGTCGTCGGGAAGGAGTGGAGTCGTAGCTGTTAGAAAGGTTCGACAGGGTGGACTTGTCGCATTTGTGCAGCCAGGTGGCGGATTGTGGTGAGTGCGATCGTAGTGTTCGTCATGTGGCGAGTGGCTTGTCCGCATTGCACGAATCGTAGACTGCGAAGAAGGTGAGACAGGAGAAAAGCAGCGAGAATTAAGTCTAGCTCAGGACTTTTGGGTGAGTGAGACATCGACCATCGCTGCCGTCATTACCGATACATCAAATGCGGGTCCTGGGTAGCTCGTGACAGCGTTCATGGTGCCAGCTTCCACCAGCACGAGGTTAGATGCAAGGCCTAAAACTAGTTCAGTCCACAACCTATATATCAATCATTCTCGGCAATTTGAAGTACACTGGTAGTATTATTTTCAACAGATCGAGTGCCTTGTGAAGGGTTGAACAATTTCCTTGAATACAATAATTCCAATCCGAGACGCTTACCTCAGACCAATTTCTTTGCCACATTTAACGATAATACCGTAACCGTTTTGTGCACCAACGTTCTGCTTTCAAATGTTGTGATACACTGCAGTGGTAGCTCCAAAAGCATCCAGCACATTTGATGTGCAATTCATAGAGTCCTGTAGTGCTCGTTTAGGGGCTGCAAGGAAGCGGCTGGCGAAATTCGTCATGCGTGGTTCACCGTAGTCTGCCGCTGCGTGAGGCTGTCCGGGGCCCGACATTGCGCGAGTTGAGGATGACAGGTGGACTGGATAGTGCAAGACTGTTGCGCCCGCGTCCTCCTGGTTCTGGCTCGGGGACGGCCTCGGATGAGGCGAGGCGAACGAGAGCAGCAGCCAAACGCTCGGCCACGGAAGACAGCTGCTCGAGACCTGGGAGTAGTGTCGGCAACTGTAAGAAACCCGTCGGTGCGCAGCCGGTTAGGAAGCGTGCCGCTCTTTCGGACATCTCGAACCAGTCGAATGTTGGTGGAAGTGGGAGGCCCATCGGTGGGGCGGGTGACGGAAAGGGCGTGGATTTGGAAGCTGCGCAGAGCGGGCAAGGAAATGAGAATGTGTGTCCCGGAAAGGTGCCCCAGGTGTCCAGTAAGGGAAAGGAACAGGAGGTGGTGTTGGTGTGTGGGACTGATGGTGCTCCGAGGGGCGAGTCGGAAGCGATAGCGTCTTTGGAGAGGCGAACTTTGCAGAACCTGCGCTTATCCCAAGAGGCGAAGGATCGGACGAAGCAAGGTACTGGCGACAGAGGAGTGTGGAGTGTGACGACGTGAGATTGTGGGATTGTGAGATTGAATGGGGGATGTCGGTGGTGGGGTGAGATTGTGGTGGTGATTGGCGGTGCGTGGTGTGTGGGAATTGAGAATGTGGGATCCTGTGGTGAAGCAGGGGACCTGTTCGGCGGGAAGAGACGCACGGAATCGCGAGAGCGGTCGAGCGGGGGATCGAGGTATGAGGACATCGACAACGATCACTCGGACCCTCAGATGTGTACGACGTACGCGACGGACATTTACGCCCACCTGCGAATGGCGGAGGTGAGAGCCTAAACCCTGGACCCCGCGGGCAGTGGTTGGAGAGCAGGGTGTGGGCGGAGGGCTCAGAGGGCATGGTAGTGGGTGAGCAGAATGACGGAACGGAGAGTGCGGTGGTTGCGCAGATGAAAAGGCGGCCATCGGCGAACTTCATGGAGTCGATGCAACAGGACATCAACCCGAGCATGCGAGGAATTCTGGTGGATTGGCTGGTTGAGGTGAGGATGTTGGGGGTGCATTGGTGCGGAGTGGGTTTTGATGATCGGCGAGCGGCGCATTGCGAATTGTGTGGTGTGTGTGTGCGTGGTGGTGGATTGTGATGCTGAGGCGGGGTATTGGTGCACAGGTTGCGGAGGAATACAAGCTTGTGCCCGACACTTTGTACCTGACGGTGTCGTGCATCGATCGATACCTTTCTGCACATGTGGTGACCCGACAACGGCTTCAGCTGCTGGGTGTGGCTTGCATGCTGATCGCTGCGTGAGTGACGCAAAACTGTTTGTGGATTGCGCGGTTGCGGTAGGAAGTGGGTGATTGGAGGAGAGTGTGAGGCGAGGGGATGGTTGCGTTGTTTGTTGATTGGTGTGCTGAGAGGTGTTGGTGAGTGGTGCTCAGAAAGTACGAGGAGATATGCGCCCCCCAAGTAGAGGAGTTCTGCTACATCACGGACAACACGTACGGGCGCGAAGAGGTGGGGGTTGTGAGTGATTGGTGATCGATGATTGGTGGGATGAGGTGCGGCGCGGGTGATGTGGGGGTAGATGATGAGTGGTGTGATGTGGAGGTGTGCAGGTGTTGGAGATGGAGAGGGGAGTTCTCCGGGTGTTGAAGTTCGAGCTCACGACTCCGACGATCAAGAGCTTCCTGAGACGGTTCATCAGAGCGGCCCAAGCAGGTTGCGAAGCTCCGGCGCTGGTGCTGGAGTTTCTGGGGAACTATCTGGCGGAGCTGACGCTTGTGGAGTACGGGTTCTTGCCATTCCTGCCGTCTATGATAGCCGCGTCTTGCGCGTATTTGGCGAGAGTGACGCTGGACTCGTCGAGACGTCCGTGGGACGCCACATTGCAGCACTACACGGGGTACAGGCCATCAGAACTGGAGCAGTGTGTGAGGGCCATGCACGAGTTGCAGTGCAATACGAGGGGGTGCACACTTCCTGCGGTTCGAGAGAAGTACAGGCACCACAAGGTGGGTTAGCGGCGTAGGAGGTTGGCGTTTGTGCGTCGGGTGGGTGTTTGCATGGCGGCGGAGTGGTCGGAGTGAGGCGAGAGGAATGTCGGGGACAGACGGTCTAACGTGAGCATGTGTGGGGTTTGCAGTTCAAGTGCGTGGCAGCCCTGGTTCCACCAGCCTTGCTTCCAGAGGAGTACTTCCGGGAGCTGGAATGAGAAGCGGGGACGAGTAGGGTGGCGGTGGAGGTGCGGCGAAGAATAAGAGCATAGATCCACCAAGGGGGAACGGTAAGACTAGGATTGTGCATATGCGTGGATGTTGTGAGAGCGCCGAAGATGGCGGCATTGTTCACGAGCGCGATCGGGTTGTGGAGCGTGCGCCCTGGAAAGAAGCACGTCGCAAGCTCCAGGGTCGGAGGGTGGGGCAGCGGGGTGAAAGAAAGGGAAGCGGTTGGAGGGCGGGTCGTGGTGAGTGACGATGGAAGTTGTGGGCATCGGAGGGGAGCGGTTGTAGATGTCACGCCCGCGGCACATGGGAGCCTGAGGTGTGGCATGCAGCCATGCAGGCCAGTCAACGGCGGACGAGAGGACGCAGCGTTGGCTTGTGCATTTGGCTGGTAGTGGTGCTCCAGTTGGGAGGTTGGTGGCAGGCAGCAGAATGTAGCACCACAGCGGGGCAAAAGGCCAGAGTGTAATAATATGTAAACTCCAGGGAGAGCATTTGAGAAACATTTTTTTTTATAAAATTGATAGTGAAAAGCAGGAATAGATTTTGAAATGAAGGTCACTCGAGTATTTGGGGCAGGGCGAGTGCAGGCTGGGTGTGTTCGGATTTGGAGGTGAGCGTTTGGAGAGATGAATGATGCGGTGGCTTGAAATGGGGAGGGTATGTGTGTCTGGTGCTTGAAGCAGAGTTGGCAGTCGATTTGGTAATGAATGGTGCGGCTTGCACACGTTGTCGGGCATGGGGTATGCTGTTACTGGGATTTCATAATTTTCTGATCGTTGGACAAGCTGCCCTCAAGATACAGTGGGGTCTGAGCCTGTGCATGCATGAGGTGAACTGGTGCTGGTGTATGATGAGTCCCGTTTTGGGGAACAGTTTGTTTTATAGGAGTGAATAATAGTCTGTATGTTTTACGTATTTTGAAAATGACTGCCATAGTAACTTGTAGCTACATTAGCTGCAAAAGGTGGAGATTGTGTGAGCATGGAATATCTGTCTGTTCAGAACTTATCTGTGCAAGATTGCGCGTTCATCATGGATAATTTTTGGGTAGCTATAATGGTTATGTTTTTAGTGTAAATTTGTGCATGTTGGTGATATATAAGGTGCACCCAAATTCACTACGTATGTGTGATATAGGTACATATTAATATGTAATGTTTGTGATTTTTACATATTGTATACATGCAGTGTTTATTTTATGTCTTTGCTATTTGGACTAACTGGAGATAATTTTGCAAGCTTATACACTTAGAAATACAAAATGTTGTGAGTGAACAATCAAAGCAATTCTTCAAATAGGAAAATATAACATTTCATTTAAATCTTTGTATTGTTTTACTAAAGCTTGTATTTTACTTTATTCATTTGTTGTGTAGTTATATTTGTTGATCTTAATAGTAACTAAGCTTTGTGCATGTTAAATAGAATTGGTACTCACAAGTTTCATGTTCTACTGACATTGATTCTGACAAATTTTACCATTGAGGAAAAAAATAGATCTAGTACACATATAATTTTTTAAAAATATAAAAAAAATAAGTGTGTATTTTTAGAATACAAATTATTTGGAATGATTGTTGTAAAATATGTTGATACTAGGCAAACATTAACTAACACAAGTACACAAAAAAAACATTGACAAGATTGAGAATAGACTTAGATATATTTTATTATAGAATAATTAATAAGAAGTGAATGTAAGTTTTTTTAAAGCTCATATAGCTTGTGTACTAACTATTCAAAGTTTAGATTGTTTTTATATTAGCTTCTTAAGAATAGGATACTTTTTAGAGAGATTCTATAACCATGTAGTATATCTATGAAGATCTATAGATTTCTTTTAAGTTTAAAATGTATTCTTATATTTTTTTTCATTTGAATTAATTTACATAGAATATTTATTTAGAAATAGGTTCTTAATGAAAAGTTAAGTTGTTTTGTAAGTTAATAAAATTTAAGATTTATTAAATGGTATCAATCACAAACTTTAATCTATACTCATCACAAAGATGGTTGAATGATTCTTAAGCCATTAATAATTTTGTACACCTAGGTTAGAAGGATATCTATTAATATTATGAATATTAAAATCTATTTTGATATAATTAGAAAATATATTTATTTTTTTATTAGATTTAATATCCTTCTCAAATTGTAATACTACACACAAGGACTTTTTTTTTTAATTATGGTATTTAGCTCATCACAAAAAAAAATATATATATATATATCAATAGCTCATCTAAAAAAAGTCATATAATTAACTTATATAACTATTTATAATTTTTATTTAATATAGACATGTTTTATAATTTTTTAAGAAAAATTAGTGTAGAAAGTTAGTATAAGAAATTTATTTTAAAATAGTTATATAAATTATTTATATTAAAAAATTACCAATAAAAAGTACAAATAGTTTTTGACACATTTAGAAGAATTTTAAATAACTCCAATTTATACTTACTAATATAATATCTATTCCAATATACATATTATTCTAATTTATTTAGATATTATATATACCACATTTTTAAATTTTAGATTCTAAATTATCATACATATTAAGAATACATGGTTGTACTTGTTTCTTTTTATAAAGTCTAATGGTATCACAATGTTTGATTAAAAACATATAGAAAACATAATGATTCTGTTTTGATTTTAATACTTATAATTAATTTACATGATTATAATTAATTATAAATTGATATTTTATTAAAAATAATAATAATATAAGACTTTAATAAACCAATCAAGAAGTGAGAAACAAATAAGAAAAAAATAGGTACAAGAAAATAGAAACTCAAATGTCTATTACTTATTACAAAGAAAATAAAGAATCTTGAATCTAGACTTGAATACAAGAAAGGCATTGATACAATTAAAGATGATTCTTTTCTTGTCTTTATATATTAGGTATCAAAAGAAGGTTTTGTAGAAGCTTCCAAAAGACCCCAAAGGCTTATGAAGTAAAAGGCTTATGAACTAAATGTAAAGTTGTAAGTTGCTTCTAACACAGTTTCTCAAAAGTAGATATGAAATAAGTTCTAATACTTAAATATATATAAGTAAATACAAATAATTAGAAATATTTTAGGTAAATAATATATTTTTTATAATACTTACAAATATTTTAGTGGTTACATATTAGATCTATAGTTCTTAATAGATGTTTCGTGTTACTATTAAAATTTATAATACATATTTTTTAATTTTAAATAGTTATATTATAAGCAATCTACAACTTTATTTGTAGGCTATAAGTTTTCTAGTCTTTAGAAAGCGTCTAAAGAACCTTCTTAGTAATTAATATATTTAGAAGCAAGAGTGTTATTATTTTCAACTTTGTCAATTTGTTTCTTCTTTTGTGATGTTCTTAATGTAAGACTATATAGTTTCTTTATAATTGATAATAGTCATTTTAGTTTTTCTTTTTTATGATTTTTTTTAAACTCATAAATTTGATAATCTGATAAGACTACTATTTTTATGATTTTTAATTAATTAATTATAAAATTTAGCAGATTATTTCATTATTAATAAGATTTTATTGTATTTAAATGCCTAAAAACTAATTATCTTTAAAATAATATTTATTTATTATCTATATTAAAAAACTATCTTTCTTGTAAAACTTATGATTTATTTTTAGAGGTTGTATTTCACCTTTCTTGAATCTAACTTGTATAATTGTTAATACTATATATTTAAATAATAAATTATCTATAATTGGAAGAAAATAAACAATAGAAGCTACACTTAGAAGAAGTTACAATACATATGCAATTGTTCTAAATCTCCAAAAAAAATTAATTTTTTTTAGCAAATATATAACTTATTAGAAATCTCCACTCTAAAAACATTCTTATTATGTCTATAGAAGAAATAAATAATAAAGTTTAATTTTACTTTAAATTTGTATTTGAATAAAATAAATAAATACAAGCGGATTAATCCTACAAATAAATGAGCCAAGTTCAATATGTTACAAAAGTTTGATGGAAGAAGATTGAAATTTTAACCTCAATTACAACATATCATGCTCTATTTATACTTATATTTTTCTCAATATCCGAATGTAATACTAAAGTATGATTTATAAAAACATTTATATCTATAAATATAATTTTTTATTTAATTTCTATAGAAATAAATTTATAAATTTTTATTTAAAATTATTTTTAGAATTATTAGTCTATAAATTTAGAAAAAATAATAAAAAGAAATATATATATATATATATATATATATATATATATTAAAAAAACTACGTTTAATTGTATTTTTTGATAATTTACTTGTAATATAAATTGAGAGAACATTAATATTTAAATGTCTTTAAAAATAAATAAAACCAAAAATATCAATAGAAAATTTATTAGAGCAATTAATTATTCTAACAACTCCATGCAATAATTGATTCTTTGAAGGTGTGAACCACAAGGATATGGCTGTAGAAGGACAAACCAAACATTGACAACAAATTTTTAAACTATAATATTTTTTTTACCAAGACTCAAACCTAATAAAATTGATATATCGTAATTTAAGAAATTAATTCTAAAAAAATAATTTTTATAAATTATATATTTTTATTGTAAAAAATAAAGTTATAATATACAAGATTAATCCATCAAATCAAATATATTTAAGATCCAAAGCACATACTTCAATACAAAAAATTAAATAATATGAATTCTTGATTAAAATAAAAATCTTGCAATTAAACAATTCTAAAAAACTATTGTTCAATATAATTTTTATTCTACTATCAAATTCTACATCTTAATTTAATTTTCTTATAAATATTTAAATTTCAAATTTTATAGTTTTAGCTTAAATTCTTTAAAATACTACAATCTTAACATGTTTATTGAACAAGGACTTTTTTCTACAACACAAATTAGTACTTATAAAGAAGAGTTGATCAACTATATTAAAAATTAATAATAGACAAATGATTGCATCTAGAGATGTTTTTGGAGTAATGTAATTATTAAAGGTGATATTAGAAGAAGATAGATCCTTAAAAATATGTGTAAATAACTAAAGAATTAAATTATTATGATTTATCTTTAATATTAGAGCTTCTTCATTAATGAAGGCTAATATTTATATTAAGAGAGATATACAAAGATCATATTATGTAGAATGTATCAAAGAATATGGATATTTTAAATATAAGGTTAGATCTTTTTGACATACAATTGCTTCAATTTTTTTCTAGCATTTGATAAAATATCCAATTTGTGGATTTCTAAACAACTTTGTTCTATGTCATTTGAGAACATTTCTATCTATTTCATGAATGAAAGAATATGAATGACATGTTTGTTTTATTTTACAAAAACTTGGAGCTGCAAAATTAGTTGCTAAGATAGAAAAATATATGCTTTATTATATATAAAAAGAAGGATTTAGTCTATTTTATTTCAAATGTTGATATACACCTCTATATCAAACCAGGCA